GCGTGCTCAGCAAGTTTAAAGTGAGTCGTCATCAGGTCGTCATCCAATCAAATGCATGCATCTAGTAACTTGCCGAGCATGCGCACAAAAAAGTGGGTACACTAGTTACGTCTCTGTATGTCTCTACTCTGTGACCTAGATCTGACATGTTTTCTGTCGCGCATGTGCTAAAATTGCTATGACAACGAGTGATTTTCACCATGTGATATCAAACCGGTTTTTGCGGGAGCAACTTCGTAATTCAAAGACTTACCGTAGTTTGAAGGCAACCAAATGTATCTCGGCCCGATAAAACAGAAAAGATTGCTTTCTTTTGTTCTTCTGTCACTGCTTTCACAGTTTCATCTTTGAAAATATCAATTACATAACTTAGAGCACTTCAAACAACATGAAAAACCTCGAAATGACCACGCTGTCCAAGCCGCCATTTTGACACTACGGGCTCAATGTCATTACAGCGTAATCACAGAGTAGAGACATACAGAGACGTAACTAGTGTACCCACTTTTTTGTGCGCATGCTCGGCAAGTTACTAGATGCATGCATCTGATTGGATGACGATCTGATGACGACTCACTTTAAACTTGCTGAGCACGCGCAGTTGATCATTTTTCGCCCGGTCGCCTGAAAAAAAGTGGGTACATGAAAACGTAGTCTTTCGCAGTGTTTACGACGTTCAGTTACGTCTCTGTATGTCTCTACTTTGTGGCGTAATTCAGCGTACTATTTCCTTCTCTAAACCGGTTTCAGAACTTGTTTCACAAACTGGTTTGACTCGTCCACGATCATGGACTGAGGAAGTGTCAGATCTAGGCAGAGGTCTCTTCTCCTTCGCTTCCCAGCACAAATAGAGACCTCTGCCAGCAGGGAAGCAAGATGCCAACAAAATCTGAATGATTGATTGACAGCGGTGGACAGATTGACTGATGGGCTAACTTAGCTAGGGAACATTAACTAAATTCAAAGCCACAATGCTACATCACCGTTTGATTTCCTGGTTTAATTCCTTGCATCGTTACTTGAGTGAAATGTTGCACATTGTAAGAGTGCTTCCAGTTTGACTTTATACCAAAACACACTTTCGATAATTATGTCACACATACATTTTGGTCTTGGAGCCTCGCTCTCATTAGTAAATTATGCAAGGTGATTGGCTCACAATTCATGAGAGCAAGGCTTAATGAAATGATCGATATACAAACATACAGTGTATAATCTATACATTACAATACTGTAATCTAATTATTCTCACTCGTCTGAGCTGTTGGAATCGCTGTCGCTGTGCTAATTAACCAACAGGCTTAGACACAGAGGGGCTTAGGGGCTTATATTCAGGGGGGCTTATATTCGGAATGACGGAATGGCCTGAGCATTAGTGAATATGGTGCACTTATACGCAGGGGGCTTATACAGGGGTTTTCAACGTTTCAGTTCAAGACAATATATACACGGTTGAACGGTTCTAGAAAGTACTGACATCACCTATATCCAGGTTAAGGAAGTGAATAATTATTAAATATAGGATTCATAATTCATAAATACAAATACTAATAAAGCCAAACTGAGAACTTTCCTCTTTTGACGATTGAAGCAAGCTTTAGACAAGAATATTTTCTCATCAACTATCGTCAAAACGGGAAACAAAACAGTACAAAATATTAAGCTTTGTACCTTTTGTGTGATAAATTGTATCTGTATCAGTACTAGAAACCAACGGCGGTGCGACCTCTGGTTAATTGACAGTTTAGACTTTAGATTTCACTTCGCCTTCATCTTTTCCAGACGATTCATCGTCTTTAAATTTAAACCTTCCACACAAATATATGTGAATAATATATATTTACTTAAATATTTTCACTGAATTTGTTCTGAAAACAAATATTTTTTGAAATTTTTGAGCCGTCTCGTACATGTCTCGAACTCGCGGGACCGGCGCGAAATTTTCCTGCGTCCTGATTGGATGATGCCCACGCATGCGCTACGTCTCAGGTTATCGCGCATGCGTCCATTTCAAAGTTCGGTAAACACCGAACTATAGCGTCCCACATGCACCACACCAGGCAACTGTAACGTACTTATATACGGAACTGTTACTTTTACTTATGTGTGGTAATCTTGCGAAAAGGGTGCCAGGCATAATGGTCTGGGGGCCGCCGGCACCCTCTCCCGTCGCTCGTTCGATACCGGTTGGTAAGCTAACTGTGTTCTAGCGGCTAGCACGAGACGGACTTGACCAATACGAGCTAGCAAAGTCGGGAAGTATGAACTGATGGGGCACTTTTCTTTCTAAAAAAATTAGAAATTTTCTACAAATTTACCGATCAATTGAATTGCGACTAAAAAAGTTAGCAATGTGTTTTGTGCTTTTTATCTAACTCATAAAAATCTAAAAATGTATATTTGATTCTTCGGCTACTTGTTTATGTCATATCAAATTTATATTATTAACAAGACGCCCACTCGGCGTTAACGTTTGGTCGGTGGATAGGGCATCATCGTCTAGTAAATATGCAAAAATCGTGTAAATCACGATAGTTTAATAGTTCACTAGTATTAATGGTGAATCAGTCAATCAAAGCTCCGTTTTAACATTTTATTGATAATAGTTAAATACAGGAACAATTTAGAGAATTGGTGAATCATTCATTATTTGGGATATTTTGTGGACGAGTGAATGATATACATAGCTACTTCACTACTTCATCTTGTATTTAGTAACACTAAACAGTTACTTCAGATATTTTTAAAATATATCAAAGTACCGAAAATATAATTAGGTGCATATAACTAATCCATCATTAGTAATAGTTGTACCACAGTCGAAGAATGTAATGAGTGGACAGTTGGCAAAATTGTTGTCTACCAGTTACAGTAAGAACCACCCATAAAATGCTTAGCAGTGTCAAACAAGTGAAAGTTGGCCGCAGTATTCCCATGCTATGCATACGAAGTATTGTACATTATATCAACATATACTCGAGAATAGTTATCCAGCTAAACATGTATGTCAAAATTATCACATCTTCTATTCTTCTGGTTTTAAATCAACAATTTTGTCGGATTTTGTGCAAGGACAGCTTCGGGTTCTGTTTCGCTTTGGCCGATGCTTGAAATTTTCCGGAAGTACACTTATTTACCGGAAGTTGTCGTCTCCTCCGCAGGCTCTTCGACTACGAGCGCGGCTCGACACAAAATGGAAAAAAAACAGGAGCCGAATTAATGACCTCGGTGTCGTACCGACCCGAGGTAAAAACACGATTAAAAACCTAAATTAAACTATTTTAAGTTCTAAAGACTAAAGTTTAAGTTTCTGTCTACTTTCTGGTCCCCCTTCATTTTAACCAATCAGATCACGATCCAAAAAAGCTCGTAATCTGATTGGCTAAATGAAGCGATCCGTTAATCCCAAATTGTCGAGCTGCCTCGTCCCCATGCGCTATAAAATAACGTGACCCCTATGTGTCACAGCGAATGTAACTAGCTGAGCCATGCACGTCATGCACGGCAAAATAAAATTTAAAGCAACGGCAAAACAAAATAAAGTCAATAAACTCACGGGGAAAAAAGTTAACTCATGGACCTCATGGCAAAACGAACTTAACTAGCCTCAGGGCAAAATAAAAGTCACGGCAAAATAAAGTTAATTTATAATAACTCGGAGACCCGCACATTCCCGCCATTCTTGTGGCGCAGTGAACCTAGTGTGAGTCAAAGGACATTTGCCGCCAAAATGTTCTGTTGAGTATGTGGTGACTGTTCTGGTGCCATGCAAAGACGACAAATTTTGCTCAAAGTGTGCAATAATATAATGCATATGTATGTTTTTTAACACCAAAAATGTATAAAACACTGACTGACAAAGCTAGCGCTTTGGGGACGAGGCAGCAGTGGCGTAACTACTAAGGGCTCAGACCGGGCGAACCCGGGGCCCCCCAAGGCTAAGGGGGCCCCTGGCCAGAATGTAAACAAAAAAACATTAGCACAGAAGTCTTCTGCATGATTTCCTGTTTCGGGAATTAACTGAAGCGTATGTGAAGTGTTTCTGGACCTCAGTACCTAGCTAGTATTCCAAGTTGTTATCGGCTGTTGTCATATTTATCACTCTTCCGGCAGGAAGAGTGATAAACTTATACAAAATTTATACTTTATTTATACTAAATATATACTAAATTATACTAATTTATACTAAATTTATACAAACAAACCAGTGAAGAATAACAACCGTTTGTTAAGGTCGTAGGTTCGATTCCCACCGTGGTCAGGCATATTTTTCAAGCTTGCCCGGTGTGGATATACACTCAGAGTAACATCACAAACATCATATTCACCTGAGTACATTACACCAACACAGAAAAAAAATCATGATTACTAGATTACATCGATATCGAAGGAACCTCGGAAGGAACTAGATTCAGTTCCAAAATATCACATACTCGAACCGACCTGACCGCGTAGCTCAGTTGGCAGAGCATTGGGTTAGTATTCCAAAGGTCGTAGGTTCGATTCCCACCGTGGCCAGGCATATTTTTCAAGCTTGCCCGGTGTGGATATACACTCAGAGTAACATCACAGGCATCAAAACGAGAAGTAAAGTTATAGGCGTTATCCTTTGTCCTTGTTTAACAAAATCGGTTTAAATTGTTACGTTTTTCTACCACTAAGTAATGATAAATTATTGTTAATAATTTTTTTGTGCGTTTTTTTCCTTCTTTTATTTCAAATGCAATTAAGTATAGTTAGCATAAATTTTCATCAAACTTGGCTTAGTGCAGGAAATGGCATTTCCGGGCTTCAAATTTCAAAAATTTGCTCGGGGGAATATGCCCCAGACCCGCCTATTCTTGCGTGGTATTATTATTATTATTAAAGGTTTATTAAGAAACACATTTTGGCACCCGAAGGTGAATTGCAATATGCTTACAGAAACATAATAAAAGATGAATATCAAATAATATAAATATAAATATATCGTATATGTACAGTTGTTAAAATACTACAAATTATTTTCTATTAAAATTAGCAGTCATTGCTGGTATAAAACTAGTTTTAAAACGTTCCGTTCTGCATTTAGTTAATGTGAAGTTAGAATTGTTTCTTAAGTCCAGTTCATGCGATTCTTCACGGAGTGGGGGTAAGAGGTGGTTGAGGTGAGCATCGGGTTTTAAGATCTTTTTGAATGTTTTAGCACATAGCTCTTGACGTCTGTCGACAAGGCGCTTGCATTTAGCGATGTTGAGAGCATCCTCGTAATCTGTTGTCGGATAAATAATACGGAAAGCTCTTTTTTGAACTTTTTCAATTTTATCCCCCAAACACTTTGGTAACATGGTGTGCCAGACAGGACAGGCATATTCTAAGATAGAGCGCACCATAGAAAAGTAGACTAGTAAGAGGTCATTGGGGGGAAGACCACAGCGCTGTCGGACACGAATAATGTATAAGCGTTTTGAGGCTTTTTTAACTAACGCTTCAGTGTTATCTTGCCATTTCAATTTATTGTTCATGGTTAAGCCCAAAATTTTGAAAGAAGGAACTAAGTCTAGAGGTAAACCATCAATGAGGAGTCGGGGGATGTCATTCTCGCTACGGACGAAACTCAGTATCATTTCTTTGCATTTCTTTCCGTTCAATTTCATGTTGTTATTAACAGTCCATCTTTCAATTGTGTTAAGATCAGATTGTAGGACTGAAACTTCATTTTTCTTTAAGGACTCCGATATTGTTACGTCATCCACGTATTTCCAATGGTCAGTGCTAGAGGATGCCAGTTCAAGATCGTTGATCATAATTATGAACAAAATAGGGCCCAATTTGGTTCCTTGAGGGACACCTGCGTTATTGATGCCCCAATCAGATTGGAAATTGTCGATCTTTACCGATTGACGGCGATTTGAGAGAAAGCTGCATATCCATGGAATAAGCGACAATCTGACGCCAAGGGCCAGCAACTTTGGGACCAGGATATTATGGTCGATGCGGTCGAACGCTTTACTGAAATCGAGGAAAACGATCCGCAGATAGCTCGATTTATCATCCAATTAATGTTCTCAGCCAATTGTTGATCATATCGATCAAGCAAAACGTTGTAGAGGTTCCTTTAAGGCAACCAAATTGTTGCGAGTTGATTTTATGTTTCACGTCATCCACCATCCAATTGACCACAAAGTCCTCAAGAATTTTGGACAAAGAGGCTGTAAGGGAGATTGGGCGCAACTCCTCCTCACAGGATACGGATGGCGCTTTAGGAATTGGTGTAATTATATAATAGTGGGTTTATTAATACACGTTCAATAGCAAGCTAAATTACAACGTGTTTACATCGTCAGATATTAATTAGAATTAATTAGAATTATTACTTATTTAAAACTATTTACATCAATGGACCTATATGCATATTAAAATCGTTTATATATATATATATATATATATATATGGAATTGTATAAAAATGTATATAAATCTTACTTTTCTAATTTAAAATTATATTCATTAATAGCATGAACTACAGGGCTGTTTCTAAAACGTTCAGTGTTGCAAAAAAAGTTATAAATCTTTTCACCATTTGTCCTAGTCTCTCTTTCCCTGATGTCACTCAGTTTCTTTGGCAATAGTCCGTGAAGTCTGTGTGATGGTTGTAACATGTTCTCAATTAAGGAGGCACATAAATTGTTTCTGCGTTCTTCTAAGGTCAGCAGATTGCTCTGAGATAATAGAAGTCCATAATCACAAAGGCCAGGATAAATTATTTGGAGGGCTCGCTTTTGGATTCTTTCTATGTTTTTCTTATGCATTTGTGTCAGACCACCACTCCAGATTTGTGCACCATACTCCAGAACAGAACGAATTACTGTACAATAGAAAGCTAATAGGTCATTTTTTGGTGCACCATAACTCTTTAAGATCTTCAAGAGGTAAAGTCGCTTAGCGCCTTTTTTTACAATATACTCAGTGTTGGTTTTCCATCTCATGTCATCGTCTATCCATATTCCTAACAATTTATACGACTTTACACGGGATATTTTATCGTCGCCAATATTAATCAGTGGTATTTCTGTTTTCTTCTTCCGAAAATCAATTAGCATTTCTTTACATTTTTTCCATTCAGTTCCATACTCTCATCCTTTGCAAATTGCACTACGTTATTTACACTTCGTTGGGTGTTACCAATTGGGCTACCAGATGAATGTTGAGTTATGGTAATGACTTCGGACAATGTACTATCATCAACGAACATAGCTATATCTTGATCATCAGATGCTTCACATATCTGTTCCTGCTCATTAGGTATAGCGACTTGTGGGAGATGGTTAATTTTTAGGATAAATGCTATTGGACCCAGCTTGCTACCCTGTGGGACTCCACCCCTGATCTTTCGCAGGTCTGATTGCTCACCTTGAAATGATGTAAATTGCGATCTGCCATGTAGATAGGACGCAAACCAACCCACTAATGCGGGCCGTACACCGATTCCAGTGAAGGTCTCAAGAAGCTTGTTGTGATCTACAAGATCAAACGCCTTCCGAAAATCAAGAAAAACGATTCTAATGACCTTTCCTGGAGTGTGCATTGCCGAGTGCCATTTATGCAGTAAGTAGATCAAGGCTTGAACTGCAGATGTACCAGGAAGGCCGCCAAACTGGAATTCACTAATTTTTTCCCGAACATCTTCATAAATCCATTTGGTGGCGTATGACTCTTGGACTTTGGACAAGGTACTTGTTAGTGCAATTGGTCTCAGAAGATCTACTGAACAGCAAGGCTTGATCTTTGGTATTCCACACACCTTGGATACTTTCCATATATCCGGGAAGAGCCGACAAGAAAAGGACTCATTAAATATGTGTGTTAGAGGCCCTGCAAAGTATTTTTCAAATAGCTTGATTATCTTTGTGTTAGGGTCAAAGGGACCCACTGCTTTGTTTACTTGAAGGCTGCTTAGCTTGTTCACGACGCTGTCAAACGTAATATATGGTAAGGGTTCATAGGGTCCAACATGAAGCCATTCACTTCTTACTTCTGAAAAGTCGCTAGTGAGGTTAGTAAAAAAATCGTTCATGTGACAAGCGGTCTCTTTCGGGTTTAATGGAGCCTCAGTTGCAGGATTAATGTGAGTAAAGCCTTGTTGTTTCTTTCCAACTATTTTTTTAATGTTTTTCCACCATGTTTTGGGATCTTGGACACGGGCAGGTTTAATCTTTTCGTGGTATAGTTTGTGTTTTTCCTTTCGAATTTCCAAAACGATTTTATTACGCAATGATTTAAAATCGTCAGTTCTTCCCCGCTGATACAATTTGTCTCTTTTGGAAATCATTTGTTTAATTTTTCCAGATATAAACAGTTTATCGTCCTCATGCACTTTAAATGTTTTCAACGGGAAAACAGTATCAATCATCTCTGATGTAACAGACAGAAAGGCATCTACTTTGCCATTTATGCAAGGAGAGTTATATACCATTGGCCAGTTTTGCTGGCTGATAAGATCTTCAAATAACTGAAGACTGGAGTTCTTTATCGGTCGAGTAATGATTTTCCTTGTTATGTTCTTATTCACTGTTCGAACTCTTGGTCTCCAAACGATCATGCAGTGGTCAGAACTACCAAGCGGGGCAAGCACCTCCGGTTCCTCATATAAAGTGTGAACGTTGCTAAATATAAGATCAAGAATTGCTGTTCCCCTTGTTGGTTTCTTCACCACCTGCTTTAATCGGCAGTTGTTCGTAATTATCTTCTCCTGAAAACCGTTGCTCACAGAATTGAAATCCCCAGCAACAACAATTGATAGATTCGGACTTTCACTTGTAAGCGCATCGTAGCAGCTGCAGAAATAGTCGTAAAATTTCTCAATAGCTCCAGAATTTAGCGATGGGGGTAAATAAACGCATGCCAAGGCAATTTTTGAGATTGATCTGGGGAGCCATTTTGGACGTAGTATGATCCATAAACATTCATAGTCCGGACAAGTAAAATCATGGCGGATTTTAAACGGGATCGTATCCTTAACGAAGACAGCCACACCACCACCTCTCATATTAACCCTGTCATTCCTTATTACACTGAAGCCTTCCTTTCCAAACATCATGCAGTATAATTGCATTAAAGAGCTGGGAGACCACAACAGCTTAACACCATTTACAGTGGGCCCTTAACAAAATATCAATACAAATATAGAAAACAGAAATAAGGTCATTTAAGTACTGTTTAATAAACGAGCAGGAGTGTTTTATTAGGTTTAAAGACCTAATAAAACACGAACTGCGAGTTTATTAAACGGCTTCAAACACGACTACAAATTCAATAGATATACTGCCTTATTAGTATTCTTTATATAAAGAATACTAATGAGGTACGACTACAATATTAATAGATACTGCCTTATTAGTATTCTTTATATAAAGAATACTAATTAGGAGTGTTTTATCAGGTTTAAAGCCACTGCACGTGACATATTATGGTTGACATGATTTGCCAATAAGCTTATGAATTATTAATGAATGTTTGAAGGACTGGTATAAGCTACTTTTACACACCGCGATCCGCCGTGTACGACTCGTATTCTGACGTATGTAACCGAGTAGTCACTCGTCAATTTGTGCATTTAAAATTTCGCCTCAATTCAGATTTTTGGAATTGTGGCATCAAACGAATTTCATACACCAGAACCCAATTCGCACAGGACAAACTCGCAATGTGTAAATGCCCCTTTATACTAGTATAACAGCAATTCAGTAATGGTCGGACGAGACTTCTGCGTGTGTTACATTTGACACATGAGACAGTCTTCCAAGTTCGTGAATCGTCAACGTTGTAGCAGGTAAGCAGGATCGCAATGTAGTCAAGTAGTATACTAATATTCTTTTCTTAAATTGAATAAAAGAAAGATTATTAAGCCTTAAATGCTCGGGAGAGAGTTCCAAGTTCTAGTTGTTCGAAGTGAAAGAATGTTTATAAGTTGTTGTTTAATTTATGATTTCGTTGACGGAATGAGATTGCGTTGACATTTGCAGATGATCTTGTGACTCTTACAGGAGCAATATGTTCAGGTAAGGTATTTTGAAATATCGATACAATCGGCCAGTATAGTTAGCTTTGAAGAAGAACATTAAGTCTAAATATCCATGCCAATATGAGAGGGGAAGACTGAAGTTCTGTCGAAATGAACTTTATAGGATACGTCACACATGAATGGGAGGCCTAGAATAAACATTGAAGCTCGGCGTTGAACACTGCGGCGACCACATTTGAGTGGCGTAGCCCAGGGCTGGTCGTACAACTGCATGCTGAATCAATACAATGCACGGCGAATCCGTTTATCCGTGATTTCCGTTGCAGATCTACGTACGAATCCGAGCATACACACCCTCGGCGCATCGATCGAGGGTGTGTTTGGACCATGTCAGATTACTAGTAATCTAAATGCCAAGATCCTTCTCCTCTGTTGTCACCCTATGCCGATCTTATAAGTCAGTTATTTTGTGGGAAAAGCCGTGCCCAGGCCGAAGAAAAGAGTTTCCTATAAGCCCTTGTGTATTTTTTATGTCTTAATGCGTAGATGAAGGCATTAGCAACAGAGTTTATACCAAGCAGCTCGAGAATGATCAGATATGCAGTGTATGAATATCGGTTTGAAGTATTAAACATGACAGTCAAGACAACAGATGGAACAAAACAAGATGTCAAGACTCCAACGATAATGGCGAATGTCTTCATAGCTTTTACTTCCTTTGCAAGATGACGTAACCAATGCATGTTTTGTTCCGACTCTGACTGTTGAGGCTGTAACACGAATTCTGATGCCATCCTTTGTCTTTGCTCTTTGACGATCTTGAACATTTTGTAATTCAGGGTTGTCATGACACAAATGGCGGCTAATTGTTGGATGATTTGCAACCATAGAACAAGTCGTGAACAAGGATATTTAATGCATGTTTTGTTGTGGTCCATAGAAATATACATAAGTGGGAGCTGAATTACCAGTGCAGCTAACCAGATACATGTGAGAAGTTTGGAAGTTCTTCGTGTTGTCACGATCAGTGGATATTTCAGTGGCTTCGCTATATACAGATATTTGTCAATTGTGATGGATAGTAGCATCGTTATGGAAAGAAATAAAGACGTATAGAATGCGGTATTCGTTGTCCATTCATCTTTCACTTCTTCATGAAAGAACTGAACAATCTTTGTTGCATAAAATGTTAAACAGACGAGAAGATCAGCCAAAGCAAGGTGTGTAACCAACCTGCTGCTTGGAGTTTTTTCTTGGTTCAGAAATATGTTGTAAATAATAACTGCAATGTTTCCTAATACACCAAGAAATAAGAAGATGGAATGAAATACCATTAAGATAACAGGGTCATCATCGCCGTCAAGTTTACTTGAGCAACTATAATTACTCATCCTTGTTCCCTGTTCTTCTTTTCAAAAATATCCGTTGCGTGTAGGAAACATCTGGTGACACTTCAAACATTATGTTGCTTTTAATACAAAGCAACTTTTGTGGACAGGTGACAAGTGCCGTGTATTTAAGGGCATATTTGCATGATTATAGCGAGCTTATAGCATGCGCATGCATTACAGAAGGAGAGACCTTGGGAACGAGGTTGGCATTGTAGCATTAATAATGCTTCACTTTACTTTTATTCATTTTTGTGTCTATCCGATGCATTTTTCAAGATAGATTTGTGAATATGCACACAAACTATAGAGTGCACAACTGACAACCATGAGGTGCAATTGTAATTCAATTTATTTTGATTTTGTAGATATATAAAGCCGCTCAATACTAATACTGAATGAACTATGAAATGAAGCCATCGCCGGTATCGTTCGATGTATCGTCCCTACCCACATCAATACCTGTAGATTTTGCTTTGGATATAGTTAAACGTAAGCTTCAATGCTTCATCAAAACGATACATGGAAATCATGTAGGCTATACTAACTCCATGCACAAGCTATACTACAATTTGACCGTACTTTCGGTAAAACATAAAATGTAGCGGGTGAGGAATCGTATAGGGTTTGGAAATATTCCTCGAGTCACAGTACTTAGCCGGTTGGAAAGGAGACCATAAATGTACATAAAAAATCGTGCAAGCATGCCTTGGCATGCAAGCATACGAAAAGCCTGCCGCGGCCGGGTGTCGAAATTAAATTATTTATAGCCTATATATCATTGTGTTTATATTTTTCTGAATGAGTTTGGTCTCAATTTTTATAAAAGAAATTTTCTTAAATTTTCTTTCTTAAACAGAAACTGTAATAATTTACTGTAGGCATGCATGGAGTCATGTTTGGCCGTAGCACAACATGAAAGATGTGGTTGCTCCAACGCAAAGTACGCTTGGTTTGTTGGTAGGATATGCTATTCACTAGAAGAACGTAAGTCTTTCTTAGTAACTTCAAACACTTTATCTTGCATGGTTATAACTTACAATTGTAACATGCCCGTTCTGTCTGATTGCCTTCTGTATTACTAAAATATCTATACATGGTGTATAAAAAAACTGAACAGATTTGAAATTGCTCTCAATTTCGCAAAACAGCTATTACTATTAGTATCCAGTTTTTGATATATATAGTTTCTTTGGGTACTTATAATGTAGAATAATGAAAAAATTTTCTCGAACTCAAATTTTGTAAACCAGGGGGGGGTTCCAACAAACTAAAAATGGCTTGCGCACAAAATTTAAAAGCTTTAATCGTATTTTGAGTAAACACATGGTAGCCTCGGTCCTTTGTTTCAACAGGGACGTTTAATCACGTATTGCCCTCATTACACATGCATACGCTTTTGTCTTCTAAATTTCCCCGGGAAACGGGGATATTTAGTTGAAAACAAAGGATTTCTTTGTCTTCTAATTTTCCCCTGCATGCTTGATGAGGGATATTTAGAAGACAAACGCGTACCTCATCGAAAATCATCGGCACAACTATGGACAGTATCTGACGACACCGTCCCGTACACATTCGAACAATCACTTTGCGAGCTTTTATTCCGCAATCTTTAACATTTCAATTGTGGGAGAAAATTCCATTTATGCGCATGCCTAAAAAGAATGAACACGGAGATGTGTTTCTGCGCGTGCGTATATATGAAAAGTGTTCGCACCACAATCATAGTCTACAATCAAACAGCATTCAAAACAGGAAACATACCACGCCCGATTCCCTCGGCTACCATGTGTTTACAAAAGTACTAAGGCTATTGGTTCGCTCAGAAGGTATTTTGCTGTCAAAGAACGACGTTTTCCTGTGTTCCTGTTGATTGTTCCTATTTGGTGTTTTCGTGTTGGTGATTCCTGGTCGTGCTGCCTGGTCGTGCTGCCTGGTCCTGCTTGGTCGTGTGGCCTGGTCCGGCTTGGTTTGTCTTGGTCTTGTCTGGTTACCTGGCCTGCCGTATCTTGGTGGTTCCTTTTTCCAAGATTCAACAACGTCCGGCGGCAAATAGTCGCTGGGCGGGGTAACCTTGTTTATTTTTCTTTTAAGTGTGTTATTTAGGGAGTTTTGTGTGGTTTCTGGCTGTTCCCGTTTAATTGAGGGGCCTTTTAGGGGGCTACTCTAAGGAAGGGGTCTGTTCCTTTCTTGTTCGTGTTTATTTGTTTGGGGGACGGTGCTTGACCGCCCTTAATAGCCAGGTTCCTCGATTGCGAGTTTCCTTGGGGTAATATTTTGTGTATAATTTATTGTGTGGGGTTAACCTCATATTTGATAGAATTTCGTGCTTTGTGTTAAAGTTGTTATAAGCATGAAGATTCCTTTTTCAAATCGAACGGTGGATGTAGAGCTTCCTAATACTCAAGGGCAGGCCAAGGTAACTGTCAAAAACGTAATGGAGACTTCCATCGCCAAACGGGAGATAATTTTCCCAAGTTATTCGAAGCTTTTGTCTTATTATCGCCTCGCAAAGTTCGTATTACTTGTCGCACCGCATTGAATATGGAAGAAGTGTGTCATCTCGGGCTTACGTTTCGAGATGTTCGTCTAACGTTCAACCCGGTCAGGACGGCCAAATGGGTAAACATTACGCGCCTGAGTTATGGGATTCCCAATGAAACGATTGCTGATGCTTTGAACCCATACGGCAAAGTCATTCAGATTAAAATGGACTCCTTTCATGGAGTTTATGTTTGGGTCCGTCAGGTCTTAATGGAACTGTCTAAACCCATTCCTTCGCGGTTGACTATTGCAGCTCATTCCTGTAATTGTTTTTATGTTGGTCAGGTTCAAACGTGCTTCTCGTGTCACCAGACAGGTCATATGACTAAAGATTGCCCTAATCACGCGCGTACTACAGGCAATATCATCAATGCAGATGGTCAATTGACGGGAGTAAATCGACCGTCGACCAGTACAGTACCTGAAGAACGCATTGGTGCCCATGGTACGGGTAATTCGGTTAGGCATACCACTGATGAGAGCCACACGTGTTTTCCGCAATGAACAGATGGTCCTCATCTGTCCATTACAGCTAGTAATGCCGATAGCCATAGTCTGGGCTTGCATGCTAGTTCTACAAATAATAATCTTGGTAATTAGCAGTTGAACAATTCAGTCACTCACTCTGATGTTCCTAATGCAGCTGTTAGAGGTGATAAAAATATTCGTAACATCAATAAAGGTGGGGTCACAGCTACGTTACCCCCGTCCTCTACAGCAGTTTCTTCTCCCGTGGTTCAGCCATCTTCTCGTAAAGATTCTGACAACTCGGAAGATGAAGATGAGTTTGTTGATGTCCTAGAGGAACTACAATTACCAGAAGGTGGCGAGCAGCCAGTTTCTATAGTTCTTGGGAAACACACTAGGGAACCTGATGATTCGGATGTTTCCGATATTTCGGAAAAGCGAGTCGATCGAAATCCGTCTTCGGATGGGAGTGTAGTTGAGGGTGATTTTGCCCCTTCTTCTCTGCCTCTGCCTCCTAGTCCTTTGACTCGTTTTTCCTCCCCCAATTCGTTTTCGTCTCTTAGTGACGAAGTTGATCCCATATCCATGGAGCATGATGCAAATGGTGTTGCAATTCCACTTGAAAGAACTACATCTGTGCAGAGGAAGGTTCGTACCCGCAAATCGCAAAGGCCTTCTAAAGTGGATGATTCTTCACCTCTTCCCTCCGCTCCTCCTGCGGATGACTCTGTGTCTATTGCTTCCGAAATCCCTGGTACGCTCTCCATCGAAGCTTATGAAGGCAGAGATGAGGAGGATGGTGATAATGATAATATGGAACCGTCTATGGCCAAAGATAACGAATACCCTAACATACCTGAAAATGGATAAGAATTTAGCACGGCTCAGGAAAATGATACTCGGACTACTCCCTCAACTCAAATTCCACCGAACCTTCCCAGGAAGGAAAATCTTGATTCGGAATCTCCATCTCCGATTGATCCCGTAACCTTTGCGGTTCCTGTAACGAAAAGGGTTGGCGATCCTTCTTTTTAATGTCAGAATTGTTTTCACTTTGTGTCCCCGTTTTGACCTTTACAACAATCGACATGAGCAAGTTAACATTTATCACACTAAACTGTCGGGGTCTGCGCACAGCTGATAACAGAGCAACGTTGTTTCAGTGGGCAAATTGCGCTAAAACTGATTTTGTGTGTCTACAGGAGACTCATTCAAGTTCCGAGGAAGAGTTTTCATCTTGGTTGGATCATGCCACCTCGTCGGGCTGTAATAAGTTTGGTTACAAATGCATTTCTTCTCCGGAAACCATTCTTAGTTGTGGGGTTGCCATTTTATACAATCCTAGTTATGATGTTGTCAGTTGCACTCGTGACCAAGATGGTCGGCTTTTGTGCGCAGAGTTTTCCAAGGATGGTAATTTGATTCAGTTGGTGAACATATATGCTCCAAATACCGCAAAGCCTGCGTCTACTTTCTTTGAATCATTATATCAAGTGCTTGATCCCGACACCCCGACGGTGTTGTGTGGCGATTTTAATACTGCGGTGGATCCGATCAAAGACCGTTTTGGTTGTAACTCTCAATCACCCTCGGCGTATAATTGGTCAGTGACTTTGCATCACTTAATGTCCACGTATGATTTGCACGATGCATGGCGTACAATTCATCCAAATGCTCAGGAATACTCTTGGCATCGCCCCAACGGCCGTCAAGCCTCGCGAATAGACATGTTTTGGCTTTCTGCCTTGCTCTTGTCCTGTGTCAAGCGTGTCGATATCCTTCCCTTTTTCTGCTCTGACCACTCCACTGTATATTTGGAGCTTTGTCTTCCATCCGGCACCCATCGTGGACATGGTGTTTGGAAGTTGAATACTCGGCACCTTTCAGATGAGTCCTTCGTTAAACTAGTGTCGGACGTTTGGTCATCTTGGAGAGTGTATAAATCTTCTTTCTTGATGCTTACTGCGTGGTGGGATGCAGGCAAGGCGCGACTAAAACAATATATCCGTGTATTTTCTAAGAAAAAAGCTGTCAGCCGTCGAAAGCTCATTGTATCGTTAGAGCATACCTTATTTCATTTGAACAGACGTCTGCTTGATGGTGACGAGGTCCTTCCAATCATTGAAGATGTTAAAAGTGAACTGGAGGCTGCTCATAGAGATGAAGCGAGAGGAGCCCGTATTCGCGCAAACGTTCAATGGGCAGAAGAGGGAGAAGCCTCTACCAAGTATTTTTTCGGTTTAGAACGTAAACGTGGTCAACGCAGGATCTTTATTTCAGTTAAAAACACGGCCGGCACGGTGGTTTCTACCTTCGTAGGTATCGCTCGGGCGTGGGTGGCCCTTTATGGGTTACTATTTACATCGCAAAGCCTAGATCGAATTGAACAAGACTTCTTCTTGAATTCCTTGTCAATGAAACTGTCCAGCGCTGAACAAAGTTTGTGTGAAGGGGAACTAACTGAGGGGGAATGCAAGAGAGCACTGGATGCCGTGGCTACTGGTAAATCCCCGGGCCTTGATGGACTTCCAGCTGAGTTCTATCAACGTTTTTGGTCGCTTCTCGGAACTGATTTTGTCGATGTCATTAATTTTGCTTATAATCATGGACAATTGTCTCCCTCGCAGGGATCGGGGGTTATCACGCTCATCCATAAGCGTGGGGATCGTCTTAATAATTGATATGAAGAATTGGCGTCCCATTACATTATTATGCGCTGACTATAAAATTGTTGCCAAAGCTATTGCCAATCGTTTGTTGGGTGTTATTGCCAAGGTAACTCATTCGGATCAAACTTGTGGGGTGCCTGGCCGGAATTCGTTAGAAAGTGTTCGTTTGCTGAAGGATGTGGTTTTTCATGCCAATCAGAATCGTAAAGCAGCTGCAATTATTTCGCTGGACCAGGAGAAGGCATTTGATCGGGTAGAATGGGGGTATTTATCCCGTGTATTGAAGACTATGAATTTTGGTCAATCCTTCCAGAAATGGGACTTTTATTATATTCAAATATATTTTCCTGTATTCTGATCAATGGTGAAACAACTGAGTTTTTCTCTGTCTCTCGAGGTGTTCGTCAAGGCTGTCCCTTATCCCCTTTACTCTACGTATTGGTGGCGGAAACAATAGCTAGTGCAATTCGTGCGGACCGTTTCATCGATAGTTACATCTTACCAAATGGCCAGACGGTAAAGTTATGTCAATACGCTGATGATACATCTGTTATCGTAACTACAGACTTGGCATTGAATGCTCTGTTCCATTTGTTCACACGATACGAGAAGACGTCTGGGACTAAACTAAATGTTAAAAATGTCATGGGTTGTTGATTGGTACATGGCAATCTCGTTCTAATCTACCAATTGCTCTGGATTGGTCCAATGTGGAAATCATTGTTCTGGGTTCTCGTATCTCTAATGATAATGAAGAACAATGGGTGTCAAAGATCAAGGCCTTGAAGACTACTTTGTCAGCTTGGAACCGGAGAGCGCTTTCCTTTCGTGGACGCGCTCTCATTGCCAATATGCTGGGGCTAAGTACTCTCTGGTATCTGTGTTCGGTTTCTGTAATACCTGAAGCAATCATTAAAGCTGTCAATGGGGAGGTTTTTCCGTTTGTATGGTGGAAGAAACGAGAATGGCTGGCTCGCTCCTCAGTCACACAACGACCTAATCATGGAGGTTTAGGTGTGGTGGACGTCCATCGTGAGATGTTGTCTCTGCATGTTTTATGTTTTATTTTTCGTCACAACTTGCCGTGGACTAGTTTCTTTTCTCAGTATCTCAAGCGTGCATTCCCTGGTCGCTCTGTTCACCAAATTTTGATTTTGGCGGTACCACCGAAATATGCTATGGACGCTCTCCCTCCGTTTTATCGATCTGTGATGACGGCTTGGTTTGCTCTGGAACGGAAGTTTGTTGACAATGAATACGTCATTTGCGGTCCTCGGAAATCTATGGTCACGCTTGAACAGCTCTCGGCAAGTTTCGTCTATGACACCCTGTCTCACCAACAAAACAAACAAAATGGCGGAAAGGTATTTTGAACACAAATGTGAAATGAAATTGCCCTTGAAGAACTAGATGAAAATACAAACAAAAGCACCAAATTTTGCTTGAACAAAAGAACTAAATGAAAATACGAACAGAAGTACCAAATTTTGGTTGAAACTCTGGCCAGTGGCGTAGCCAGAACGATAATTGGGGGGGCCCATATTCATATATAAATCAATTGTTTTTATGGTATGTGAACACGAATATATGAATATGGGTCCCCCCAATTATCGTTCTGGCTACGCCACTGAGTCTGACAGGACTGGGCTTTGGCGAGAGAATATGATATTGACGGAGAAGTATACAATTTTGTCATATGCTAATAATAAACAAGTAATCATGCAATGTTGCTCGTACAATTAGGGATTAAGTATTGTTATTGTATGTTTGGAAATTTGCCAAATTGGACTCGCCCCGGCGGCTCGTCCAATTTTGGCAAAATTTCCAAACATACAATAACAATACTTAATCCCTAATTGTACTCGCCATCGCATGATTACCTATACTAACTATTCACGCAAACTTACATTTTTTCCTAAAAAATCAGCCTTTTGCATGCTTAATTAACTCATTTGCCTAATTTGCTTATGTCAGCAATATGCAAATTAGGTTAATGCATTAATTAAGCATGCGAAAGGCTGATTTTTTAGGAAAAAATGAATAGTTAAAGGGCTTAAACTACAGCAAATTATCTGAAATTTTGTACAGTAATTAAAAACCCAACAAAGTTTCCATCCATTAACACAAAATACTGTTTTGTGAAATTGAGAGCAATTTCAAATCTGTTCAATTTTTTTATACACCCTGTATAATTATACTCTTGTGATATAGGCTACATTTCATTGAATCTGATTTTTAAATTAACTATGCCAATTTATGGGTTATTTTAACCAGGTCCGGATGTGGTTAATCATTTTACTATGTCTATGATATCTCTTTGTTCTAGTTCAATGTATCCATACTGTCAGTTCTCACTTCAAGAAACACAAGCTTGGTTGCGATGAAAAGTGCCCACAACCATGCGAGTAAGCTCGCCCTGTGAAACTTATAGCGAAATAATTTATTTAATTGAAGTTCTGCAGTGAACCTGCCGGAACAGACAGAACAAAGAATTAAAGAGGTGTCTGTTTTATAAAGGTCATCATGATGATGTCATTTTTAAAACTGCAGTGACAGTTTCGTAGGTCATTAAAAATTGATTAACATAGCGTATGAGGCATACTAGGTTACTTAATTTCTATCGTACTACGTACACTACTGCTACATTGTACATCTCAAGGAGAGGTTTGGATGTCAATCATGTCATTCAATTGAGTTTTTTTCAGTTGAGTGTTTTCATGCAGTTCGGATGAAATCCTTTATGTATAGCTATATATTTACTCAAGTAATAATAATTAATTATTTGATGCAATATATATAGCTATTAACACAATATGTTATTTTTATATAGACAGCAGAGTTTTCTCAACAACATCATGACAGCTACTTTGACATCAAAAGAAAAGGTATGCTGGCAGCTGTTAAATATTGCATGCATGCATGTGCATGGTAAAAGAGTTAGTAATCTACAGTTAATTCCTGCTTATTATTGCCGGCACCATGACAGGTAACCTTTCCCTTCCTCTCATTGTTCAGCTGTCCCTTCTTTAAGTTTCTTGTATGAATTTACAATTCTTAAATATGTCTTTTCTACTCGTTTTTATCTAAAGCATCATTATTCTTATACGTTCTGTTGTGAGCAACTATCTTGCGTAAGAAGATATCACGTCTGTTATTAAAATCTACATTAAGCCATATCGTTTTCTTTTCTTCATTAATTACTGGCGTTCTCGATCGTGCATGTATCGTCTTGTTAATTTCATAATCTTGTTAATTCCACCACTCCGTGGATATTTTCCCTCTTACAATTTCCATTCACTCTGCCTCAGCTGATTCAGTTCTATCATCCATTCTATAATTAAATATCAATCAAAGCAATCTGATTCTTTCTTCCTTCAAATTTCACTCCAGCTCCACTAACCTTCTTGTTAGTAAGATGTTCTCAGAGTGATATTCCTTGTATCTGTCGTAACATTCTGTTCTCTCTAAAGTTCTGTTCCTCCCTCCTCAGTTCCCCGTTTAAACTTGATACAGCACCAATAAACCACTTTCACTCTTCCATGTCAATGCTGTGCATGTGTCTCCCAAATATTTCCTAACTTGGTTAGGTCGTGTTTCATGTCCGTCTAGTATAACTATACTTCTATTAGGAATTTTATCCTCTATATTATTGATTTTCTCCATCGCCTCCTCTCATGCCATTGATCTTTGCAGCTCCTCTTAATTCCGTAGATTGACTTTTATATCATCTGCCGAGAGCATGCAGGTATCAAATCAAAGGTATTTACCTCACCGAAGTTCAAATGCACTATGTAATGCGTGTTTTTTCGCAGGAACTCAGGAAAAAGAAAAGTTTCGGAGACAATAATGAGACAGATTTTGTGTTTGAGTAAGTATTAAGTCTATTTTCTGCGTGTTATAGCTTATTAACTTTTTTGCATAACTCATTTTTTGGCATTTTCAGAAAACATAAAAAACCTCAAAACTTCTTATTACGGAATACACAACAGAGCATCTGTTTAGCTAAATTATTTAGGCACATATTGAGGAGTTACATCATGCTTTGGAAACTTGGCCAAAAACCGTAAATTTGTCAAAAAATGACTTGGGCAAAAAAGTTAATATAAAAGATGATATTTATTTTCACACCTTACCTGCATATAACAATATTAACTTCACTTATACTTGTCTTTCAATACCAGTGACAACATTCTTCGGGTGAAAATATTTTATCACGAATTCAATCTGCAGAAAATCGTCCAGTCTACGTACTATGATGTAAGTTTACATACTATGATCTAAATCGTGAATTTTCCATTTTTTTAAAAACTGTATTGAGCTACCTTTAGCATTTATTAGACCCAACCAGGTGGATGGGAGGAAAATGTGTGGTTTGTGGTGGGGTTCATTTCTGTTATATGATTGGGTAGAGAAACATCCCTTTTGGTTGTAACATATTCTTCATCCATTTTTAGATAGAAACTCTTATTGGTGATATCGGGGGACAACTTGGACTGTGGATTGGTGTTTCTATAATATCTGTCGCTGAATTTGGTGAACTGTTGATCAATCTTTGTATTGTGGCCGCACGGAAATATCACGACAGAAGAAAGAGTAAAACTGCTGTTATTGAATTGCAATAAGTTCAGACGATTTTACATGGATCGCCGGGTATTTTTTTATTTGTTCCAGAATTATTGAATATCGTTATCTTTGTACGAGAATATCAAGATTCTAGAAAAGATCTAAAACTGATGTGATTGGATTATTATAAGTTCACTGAAGAAGAATGTTTCAGTCACAATTCTCCATGACCATCCTTTCATAATTTTTGAAACCCCATTGATTTGCATCATGCATGCAAAATTAGACCTTTCCAGTAATTACGTCACAACTACACTATTTTCAGCTTAGAACCATAAATGGAATGGATTTTAAGTTTATTTCTCACGAGCTATGGTCAGAGGAGCAGAATATCCTTCTTCAACACATGCATAAAAAATAATTTTGGATTTTGACCAATAAATGTGGAAATCAGCTTAAACACGAAAACGAGGCTAAGGGGCCTGCTCCCATAGCCCGTGAGGACCGCGAGAAACAAACTTAAAATCCATTCCATTTTAAGTTGTCCTAAGTTGAAAACAGTGTAGTTGTGACGTAATTACCGGAAAGGTCTATTAAAGAGAATTAAATAGGTACCCATAGCACACGATAGTCACACCTATCCAGTTTCTTGCCATGTTCTTCATGGCGCCATATTGTTATTTTGGAGCCATGTTGCATTAGTAGCTGTTTGTCTATTTTAATATATTTACGTTTTATGAGTAAACTTCAATATGTGCGTGTATTTACAGGTTATTTGGTAAACTTTAAGAGCAATATTTGAAGGTTGAACAAAAAAATCGCCCGCGTTCTCCTTTTTTTCAAAATTCGGACGAGAAACTACTATTTTTTTACTTGGCCTTATATGTAGGTAATGTGTGAAAATAAATTTAATTTTTTATATCGACGGCTTATTAACTTTTTTGCTTAAGACTAAGTCATTTTTTGACAAATTTACGGTTTTTGACCAAGTCCGATCCAGAGCATGCATGATGTAACTCCTTAACATGTACCTAAATTAAATCATTTAGCTAAACAGATGCTCTGCTGTATTCCTAATGCGAAGTTTTGAGGTTTTTTAGGTTTTATGAAAATGCCAAAAAATGACTAGTTATGCAAAAAAGTTAATAAGCCATAACATGCAGAGAATAGACTTAATACTTACTCAAATACAAAATATGCCTCATTATTGTCTCCGAAACTTTTCTCTTTCCTGAGTTCCTGCGAAAAAACACGCATTACAAAGTGCATTTGAACCTCGTCAATGTAAATACTCTTGTACGAAATAGATTAGTTGGTATATTTGAGACCTACTTTTGGCAGATGATATAAAAACCCACGGAATTATAAAAGGAGCTGCAAAGATCGATGGCATGACAAGAGGCGGTGGAAATGTAAGTAAAACAAAATCAATTATATAGAGGATAAAATTCTTAATAAAAGTAGTACACTAGACGGACATGAAACACGACTTAATCAGGTTAGGAAATATTTGGAGAGAGACATAGCATTGACATGGAAGAGTGAAAGTGGTCATGCATGAACAGTATAGTATTCAAACCAACATAACCAGTGGTGCTGTATCACGTTTAAACGTGGGAACTGAGGAGGGAGGAAAAGAACTTTAGGGAGAACGGAATGTTACGACAGATACAAGGAATATCACCCTCAAAACATCTTACTAACAAGAAGGTTAGTAAAGCCGGAGTAAAATTTGAAGGAAGGAAGAAAGGATCAGAATATTGAAAGTTGATTAATGGATGAAAGAAAATCAGCTAAGGCAATGAATGAAAGGAATTTACAAGAAGGAACATATCCACGGAGTGGTAGAATTAACAAAATTATGAAATGAAGATATTGCCGCCAATATTTAACATGAAGACGATACACACGATCGAGAACGCCGGAGTCAATAATTAATGAAGAAAAGAAAACGACTTTAATTAATAACAAACATGATATCTTCTTACGTAACTAACGTAAGATATTTACAACAGAACGTGTAAGAATAATAATATTTTAGATAAAATCAAGTAGCTAAGAAGAGACATCTTGTCACTCATCAGATAAATTAGCCTTAAACTTAAAGGCTAATTTATCTGACGAGTGGAACATCTTGTGGTACGAAACTACTAGTAATAAAGATGCCTATAGTGGATTTTGAATCGTTGCCTTTATTTAATTATGTTCTGCATACCCATTGAGCACTCTGCCATTGACTGGCAAATGTTTTTGTAAACAACAAAACCTAATTTCACGGCTGGGAATTGAACCCGCGACTTTCGCCGTTTCTTGTACGATGATGCTCTACCGTCTCACTCTGAGCTACAAGGCCAAGTTGGAAATGATGTACTATTTGTGATGTTATTGACATTTTGTCGATGCTTGATGCCAGCTGTTACCCTGGTAAATGTTATAAATGATTTTAAATATTAATATGTATTTATTTATTATAGTTGATGTTTAATAAAAAGAAACGGATGAATATACACTCTAAAACAATTTTAAAAATAATTGTTAATAAAATAAATGCTATAAAATTGCGGTATGACCGCACGGCACTTGTCATCTGTCTACAAAAGTTGCTTTGTATTATAAAAGCAACATAATGTTTGAAGTGTCGCCAGATGTTTCGTACACGCAACGGACAGTTTTAAAAAGAAGAACAGGGAACAAGCTATAGGATGCATAATTATAATTGCTCAAGCAAACTTGACGGCGATGATGACCGTGTTATCTTAATGGTATTTCATTTCATCTTCTTATTTCTTGGTGTATTAGGAAACATTGCAGTTATTATTTACAACATATTTCTAAACCAAGAAAAAACTCCAAGCAGCAGGTTGGTTACACACCTTGCTTTGGCTGATCTTCTTGTCTGTTTACTTTATCCAACAAAGATTGTTCAGTTATTTCATGAAGAAGTGAAAGATGAACACCTGTTTTGGACGATAACGCGTACCGCACTTTATATTTCCATAATGATGCTACTATCCATCACAATTAGGCCGTATTCCCTGACCGCTTTTCGTTCAGTTTTGTTGCCCCCCTTCGGGCACTACTTTAAATTCACATGAATCTATAGATTTTTATACGCTGAGTACGAATTCACTTGTTGTCACTCGCACAAACCTGCAGTTTGTTTGTATTTTACGATCAAACATCAACATTTTTTATTAAAATTTCCGCCATTTTGTTCAGGAAACTTCATGTTATATACAATTATTGTACTAGTTCAAGTCTCTTAGCAGGGGGGGTTGCACGCGGTATTACGCCTTTTTATCATTCTTCTGAGGAAAATATACGGAAATAAATAAAAATATAGATATGTTTTCACAATATTAAAATGCAAAAGGTAATAATACATGTTTGTATATAATCAGGAACTAATCTACTATTCTTTATTGCACCAACTTTTGGGTTTTTTGCCTCACCTTGATGTGAAATTTCAAAGACTGTCACTACATCCACAAAGACTCACTTGACTTGTCCTTGGTAAAGTTGTTTATTTTATTTATTACTGAAATTATGTACATAATTTTAGCCTTACAATGTGAATAGGCAATTTTTCTTTCAAATTTTTGTTAACAATGAATAAGGAGCACAATATACTTGTTGTTTAATTAATGTTAGACCTTGTCACCTATTGTTGTTTAGTATAAAATGTTAGACCTAGTCACCTAGATAATTTATTAACACAAATAGACCATTGCCCATTAGTAGCAGTTGACCTCAATCAAATTAGCTCATCCATTTAATAAATCTGCACATAACGAGTTCCAACACAGTTAATAGAATAGATGGTTTGGCTGAAACTCATTATTTATGTTAGTCAACATTTATTCATAAATCTGGTCCTTCATCCTCATGTGTGTACTGTATTCTTGCCAAATCCACCTTGTATTCTTGCAATTCCCAATTTACCCTATTGTTCGAGTCACAGATAGGTAACTTTCCTAAGACATTGCTATTGGTTAGTTGGGTAAAAATACAGAGACCAGATTTATCAATAAACCAGTGGTGTAACTTTTTTTTTTGACCACTTGCTTTCAGGGCAATTTGCCAGGGGGTATAAATCAAGGGGGCAACATGTCGACTCATTGTCCCACTGCTCTATATGGCTAT